CCAAACACAAAGAAAACTTTAACAAAGGCAGAAATTAAAAAATATATTATGTGTATTACCTCCGCAACTATTAACCATGCTGTCATTCACATAATTTTGAGACTCTAGGATAAGGTAGAATAAAACACCCCTGATTTTTTATTGCTCTAGGGTGCCAAGTCGCAGGGATGATAGCCATATTACTTGGAAGGATTAATGCCTGTATTTATCAAGACTTCTAAAACATTACATTCTCTCCATTCCTTTTTGTCTGCACATTTTCTGTATATTCCATGCTAGCATTCATGAACCTCTCTTTTGTGGTACAAAGTGTGCAAAAGTTTCTGTATTAGTAACATCCTTTAGGGTTATCATTCATGTTGTCTTCAGGGCAAATTAGGGGGATGTACCTACCACTGACAGAGTCAGGTCATTCTCTGAAAGCAAGCTGTCAATTCCATTATGTTAGTTACCATTTATGGGCAAAAGTTTCTGTATTAGTAACATCCTTTAGGGTTATCGTTCATGTTGTCTTCAGGGCAAATTAGGGGGATGTACCGCTGACAGAGCCAGGTTATTCTCTGAAAGCAAGCTATCAATTACATATATTAGTTACCATTTATGGGCAAAACTAATATTAATTATGCCTCAAACCTCCACAACTGTAACCTGTAGTAGTCCTGGACTGCCACCTAGAAGCTAACTGCCTGTTTTTGGAGTCATCTGGTCTCTCACCTTGAGACCACACATGCTGGTGTGTCACAATAAGTCCTTACTGAAAATGTTTTGGATTGTTAATTTATTTTATGCTGTTTCTTTGTTTATGAATATAGTTCTGCCGCACAGAACTATTGCACCAGCAACAGTCTGTGCAATGGAGACTGCACTTGCAGCAGCAAGCATTATATTCTTCAGTTTTGCAACTTTCTGAACCACAACAGCTGTTCTTGTTTTCAAGAAAAGAAAACGTCCACCATTTCACATCCTTTCTTTCTGTTTTCCACAATAATACAAGAAATCAGAAAACCCTTCCACTGCTGTCAGATCCATGGTCTACTTATGGCTGATGCAGAGAAAGCCAGTACACACATACAGAGCTTTCAAGTTACCCAAACTGCTACACTGCCAGGCTAAGAACAGTTCTGAAGAAGAGCTGGGAATGTCAGACGTTCTCTCATCATGAGCAATCCTAGAGTGAATCCAGGCAGGACACATCCAGGAAATCTAGCAAGCAAAAGGCACAGATTGAATAAACTGCAGCGCCAGCATGCATGTGGACTATACAGCTACAGAAGAGATCACAAGAGATAATAAATTAAGGTGATTAAAGTCTCTAGTGCATTTACTAGCAGGTAATCATCACAGTTACATAGGCACGGGCATCCGAGCATGTACTAGGGCACATAAAAAGACTGACTTGCAGGGAAAACCCATCTCTAGTTTTGTCTCAAGGGTTTAAAGTCTCAGCAATGTCTACAGCTGGTTTTCATTACTCTGTAAAAGAATGTTAGTCATTTGAAACTATGTCACTCCGGGCATTAACAACTCATGACAAAAAGCAGACCTGAAATCAAGTGGTATGCACAAAATGGAGTGAAATAGTTTTAAAGATACTCAGAAAAATTGTGTAGTCATTCATCATGAACCCATTTTGGTTTATCCATTGCATATTTTCAGTATACTTACAGAATCATTTTGATTCAGGATAAAAAGACAGTAAACTCCTAACCCCTTTTCTCTGATGCCTTTTATAATGACCACCGAAAGTTCTGGTCTGGATAAGGTGAGTATGTCATCATTAAATTCATCGAGAATTTTACAGAACTGTGTGCTCTAACCTAAAGAAGCATCATTGTATTATACTTGTTCCACTGAAAGTCCAGACTTGCAGAGTTTTTTGATAGGGTCCATTATTGACGAACATCATATTAAATCAACAAGCTGCACTGAAACTGCCTAAGTTGGCAGCTAAAACACTCTGACAGCAGAAAGTCCTTTGTTTGGGGGGAAAAAAGTGACATGGAAATTGGGTACAACCTCCAATCAAGGTCTTGCTTTCATGTCTCTCTAGATATGATGGTTCAAACATCACCCCAGGGACCAAGGGAAGAAAGAGTCATTGACTGTTATTCCCCAAATAAATTCACACTAGCACAAGGTAATCAAGTGTATAAAAAGGAAGAGGTTAAAGATAAAAAGCTGGAGAAAATATTTTTCCTTATTCAAGGCCCTTACTATTTCCCTTCCTTCCCACCCCACCTTATAAGGTATATCCCTTTTTACCCAACAATTACTAGACAGTAACATGTAGACCTAATTCCTCACTGAAATGTTGATGATCAGAAAAAAAAATGAGGGAGGCATGGCATGAGACCCAAGAAGAAGAGGTTCAGCTGCTGATTAACAAACAGATGACACAACTCCAATCTTCATTTACTACTTGCTTCTAAATTTTGCAAGTATGTTGATGGGGATGGGTGCAGTGAAAATCAACCTCTTTTTTTAAGTCCAATATTTTAAAATACCAGATTTATGAATGAGATCCTTTTACATTAAATATTTTGTGATATCCAAAATATACATATAATATATTCTAACAGAGCGGTTAAAGAACAGGCTGCATCAGCCTTTTAACATTTGGTACATGAGCATTACCTCATTCTAGTGTTTCTCTTCAAGATTTTTTTTTTTTTTTAATATATAAAAAGTGGGTGTTCATGAAGAAAGTGGTCTGGATAAAGATGTTAGCAGTTTACGAAGGAAACCCCAAAAACATAGCCTATGTTTTGGGGCTTTAACTTCCATATGGCGGGTGGGTTAAATATCTCATCTTTTGTAGTTCTTTCTAATTTTGTAAGCCTATTAAGGTTTCAAAAGTTGTTTTCCTACTTCATGCAGGAAAAGAAAGATTATTCAAGGGCACTCTGTCACTTCCAAGCAGGCCAATGCAGAGTTTATACTAGTTCCAAAGCTAGACTCTTCCAGTAAAAAATGTAGGAAGTGATTTAGTGTTGGCTATATAAATTCATTATTTCTGATCTGAATGTGAAGTCTGTCTTGCCACCTAATCGATCTAATCCAAGCTGTTAGGGTATAGCACAATCTCAGCATTGAAAACTTCTGCAGCTCTGTGGAAAGGTTGCCTCATTCACACTGTTGCAGAAAGAACATCCATCAACTTGTGATGATTTAACAGTGAGAAAGAACATCTATTCTAGCTCCTTTAAGTGCTGTTACCCTACTTTTTTCTTCATATTAGTTTCAGGAAATAAAATTAACTCTTCATTAGGGACTTTGCAAGTCATGCTTTGGTGAGCAGTCCCAGAAAGCTTAAGAAAAGTGGCAAGAAAGTCACTGAAACTAGATTTTCTTAAGATGCAGTAGATAGACCTAACAGCACTTAGTATGCCTGGGCAGGGCTTAAGCAGTAAATTGGAAGCATGGACGATTTATAAATGAGGAGCAACAGGCATATGTGAGATGTGAACAATTTAGAGAAACTTACATTTGATTCATGATCATTCTTAAACCTATACCTCCACAAAGAAATTCTCACCAGCTGGGATGCCTTTAAGAGTTTACCTATATATGAAAATAGTCACACCATACTCTGGACCAACCATGCTTTCTACCTGTATAAATGAACTTCGCCTTTATCTTCTGTGAATTTTGGTGGCTGCTGAGATGCAAGTTTACATCTGAAAAATTATACTCTACTCTGAACTGGTGCGGTCACAGACCTGCATTGACAGTGGGGTGAGCATGTGCGGTCACTGTTATTTGGTTTTCAAGACCCTCCTTTGGTGACTTCCACTAAAAAATTTCCTCTTTTTGTCCCCATTGTCTCACAATTTGCAAGTAACACAGAGTGAAGGTAGATTGCTAATAAGGTTCCAAGACTAATTTTCTCATGTTTTAAAGGCTAGGGTTGGATTCTGCCTAGGGGAAGAGAAACAGAGGAGAAAGAGTGCAGGAAATGGCGCCGCCTCCTCCAACCCCTGCTCCCCCCAGCTCCCTCCCCATTCCCCTCTCTGCGTCCCTGCAGCTTGGCTCCCCGTGCCATGTCAGTCCCAGACTGCCAAAAGAGGGTGATGGGGGGAAAATGACCCTTGAAGACTGAACAGCGAGGCGGGCTGGGGCAGGGTGACGACCTGGGAAGGCGGTTAGAGCCGTTGGGGGGGTGACAGGTGGGCAGCCGTGGGGCGTCCTCAGGCGAGTGGCTGGTCCAGGACACGGGCAAGGTGTGCACGCTGGTGTGGGTCTAGGAGTGCCCGTCTGCTCCCAGGTTGGCCCCCACCTCAGGGGTAAGCAGGCACCCAAGCCGTTGTGCGATGGCGTGCTTGTTGTGGAGGGTGTGTCTCGAACCACTGGGCGCACGAGCACCTGAGCGTCCTCGTTATGGGAGCCTGCGTAGCATGCTGCCCCTGAGCTGCCATGTGTCCACGCGTTTGTTCACTTACTCATGTTCCTGTATGCATGTGTGTGCATGCAGAAGGGGGACTTAGGCACAAGAGTGCGTGCATGTGTGCACACCCAGGCGTGCTCATGGAGAGGGCCTGCGCAGATGAGTGCGCACTGGTATAATGGAGGTGTGTGCTTGCACACTTGGGTGCCTGCAGAAGGATGTGAGTCTTTGCATGTACTTGTGGAAGCACGCAGGCGTGCATGTGTGTGCAAGCTGAAGTGTGGTGTACCTTAATGAGTGTTTTCCATCCATGATTTTTTGTATTTTATTCAGTTTCATAGAACTCGAGGGTAGGGAGCAGATGGTCCATCAGGGTGCTACCTAGGAGCATGCAGGGACCCACTTTCATACACAAGTGCTTATGCACAGGCAACAAGACTCTAACAGATTAAGAAACTAAATTTTATTCTGTTTCCTGTGCTATGTGGGTTTTGCAAATAAGTTGTATATTGCTCCCCAGAATTCTGACGTGAGGTGTTCACGCATGTCATATGTTTTTTTTTAAAAACTGTTACATGTGCTTTGTATTTTGATATGTTTCTATAATCACAGGGAAATGGCAGGCAAGAAGAAAGAAACCCAGCTCCAGGTATAAATCCTAATTACTTTAACAATTCTAGAGATGAATAGATTTTTTTTCCTGCCTTTTTAAGATGATAAAATGTCAATTCATTTTATTTCAGGCCATAATAACCAATCAAAACCAGTGGGATGAAATGTTGCTGACAAAAGGTGTAGTAGGTACTAACTGTTACTGTTTTCTGTTTAATCTTTCATGAGGACATTCACAGTTTTTCATACTTATATTTCATATCATCTTTAATAGATACTTGTCATAAATCTAGAAGACTAGTGCCATATTATCTTTTAAAGAAAGGTTATATTAATATATTAATAAATTTATATATTGTGTTTATGAATATATACTGTTTTCTCTGATAAATAAGTACTTGTTACACATCATATTATCCATTATTTTATGCACTGCTATAGACCAGTGTTCAGAAAATACCTTTCCAATATGTTATTCTGTATTGTAGGAGGTAGGAAACTTCCGTGGAAGTTTTTGCCTAAAATCTTGTACAGACTAAATTAATACTGTGCGGTTGTACTTAGCAGTTAATCGGTCAGCATTCTTGAGAGTGCATGTTCTATGATGTGTTTGCAGTTTACTCTGTCCAATAACAGTGTCTCCTAGGAAATGTATTTGGGTAGAAGGAACAAATCTGTAATGGCATCCTATCTACAGAGGAGTAGTAATGGGAGAGAAATTATCTGTGTGGGTTCATGGAGGTAAAAATCCTGTAGAATAAAGATTCAGATAAGAATGAAAAGCAACAGTGGAAAAAGAAAAAAAAAACAAGAACAAGTAAAAGGAAAAGGAATGAGAGAAATGTAGCTGTTTGGATTAATCATCTCAAACAGTATTGTGAAGTAGGTTGTTGATGTCAAAAGTAATTGAAATAAAAGAGGAAACCATGATGTATCCACTGAATACACTGATGTATTCATGACACATTCATTGACTAGGAGAGTACTGAAAGATGCATATGAACGTCTTTCCAGTACTGTTCCAATACATTCATAAATATGTCTCGTTTTATAAGTTCCACAAGTCAGCTGTTTGTAATTCCAAACTATTACATTTTAGTAATAGATGTGTATCAAGCTTGGTGTGGTCCTTGCAAAGCTGCGGTGAATTTATTCAGAAAACTGAAGAACGAGTTTGGCGAAGATGATGTGTTGCATTTTGCAGTGGTAAGGATGTAAATTCTGTATGGGACTTAATTTACATTTTATTTTAAATGTATTTTTTTTTCTGTCCGCATATACAGAGCTTTCCTTTTACTGTCCTTATATCAAGTGGTCATAATTTTCACCTGGTTACCTCTTCTTCTGCACATCTCCTCATAAGACTTTGTTTAGAGGTAGATTAGAAATGGTAATAAATAGGGAAGGGACATTAATAGAAAGGGAGCTGATATCCCACAAATTTTGTTTTCCTTGATGAGACTGCACAAACATTCAAAAACTGGACTATATGATTTTTAGTTTCAAGCTTGTACATTATTGATTATCACATTGAAAATTCTTACATCCCGGAAAAATGCTGTTACATGTTTTTCCCAAATATTCCCTTATATTTCATTTTCAAAAGAACAAAAACTATAGTAGCAAAAATACTCCTCTACACTAGCAGTATAAAATAGGAGGTATGTATCATATTTAAAGTAGATAAATTTGTCTCACAGATTCAGTTCCTCCCAGATGTTGACAAAGATCATACTTTTTGATGTTACTTAAAACCTTCGTTTGCCCAATCAAAACATTTTTGCAGAAAATACATGTATTGTTTATATACAAAAAGTAGGCAGTTGTGTTCAGAGATTATCTCGAGTGCTTTCATAAAGTTGACCACATGTCACAAAGAACTTAATACAGTGAATAATCTCTTCTGTCAAGACTGCATGGACTACTTCCTCATTTATGCATGTTATTATGACCTACATGGGAAAACAGTATTAGGATAAGATATTTTTCCATGATTAGCTGCTGTAATATGAAGGGAGGCCAATCCCACGTTACCAAACCAGTTCTTTCTTCATCACCAGCAAGTGCCATAAGGACTGATAGTTGTATTTAAGACTGCAGTTTGAGTGTGTAACACCAAAGTATATAAGACTGAAGTTTTCTTGCAGGCAAAAAGATTTGTATATATATATTTTTATATATATATGCATATATATACACATTCACGTAAGTAAATAATCTTTTTCATCTGACTTCAGGCAGAGGCTGACAGCATTCCGACTCTGCAACCATTTAGGAATAAATGTGAACCTGTGTTTCTTTTCTGTGTTGTAAGTACATCACATCAGTTTCTTTCAATGTGCTACCTACTTTTGCATTAATTTTTCAGCAGATTAAGAAGAAATGTGAAGCTGTATAAATCATATCTTTACATTTTACAGTAGGTACAATCATATCATCAGATGTTGTTTACTCGAGGCTTTCCCATGCCTAAATCTGTGGTTCTCAAGCACATTTTTGTTGTGGCTGGTGCACAAACAGCCACAGAAGATTTGTGGTAGCCACAGTTTTGGTAGTTACTTAGTGAGAAATCAGTATAAGTTTTCCAGGGTTGCCTCACGTAAAGTGTCTACATGTGGCTACAGTGAAATGATTATTTTATGCACATCTTCCCTCAGGGAAAAAGATTTTACATTTCCTGCCACTTCAAGTTTTTTAAGATAAACAACTAAAATTGTATTTTTCACACCTGAGCAATTGTAACAATGAATCATATATTTATTATCTCTCCTTGATGGATACAGAAAGACTATTCTCCTAGGACTCCATTGTAGAACACTGCTCACTTACGAGCCAGTGGGTTTTTTCAACTTGAGGGTTCTAGGATTTGAATTCCTGCAACTAAGGGCCAAGAACCATGATACTTTCAGGACACTTTCAGGTTTGAATCTGAATGCTGCCAAGTGAAGTTGGCAGTATCTTTGATCATCAGTAGCCAGCTTCACTATGGTGCTCCTGAGTGTGGTAGAGCACACAATGAAACGTAATGCAAATGAAAAGATAGAAAACTCCATGTTACAGAAATTAAGAGCCAGTAAATTTCATATCTCTATTTACTTCTGACTTTACTATTAATGGTGAGCCTAGAAATAAACATAGAAAATGAGGCAGAAAAGGAAAGGAGGAAGTAAGACTAAGAAAAGTTCATTCTGAACTAGTAGAGACAGTAGTAGATATGATATACACTTCACTGGGCATAGGAAGTGGTCCTGTTGCTGGAAAAAATAGCAAGATAGAGCATGTTCCAAAACTCGAGTTAATGTGTAAACTAAGCGACAAAAACTCACCAAGAGTGTTATTTTCTCTTTTACAGAATGGCAAAATTATTGCAATAGTGAGAGGTGTAAATGGTCCTCTTATAAGTAAGAAAATAACAGAGCTAGTGCAAGAAGAGAGGGAAATTGCAGCTGGAAAGAAGGAACGCGCCAAGGTACTCACAAAACAGATATTTAAATATAAATGAGTATTTTTATTACACTTACATGGTTTCTCTCAATGCCTGTGATAGTGTTTTCTGTAATGTAATGTTTAATTTTTTGTATTTTTTTCTTGAAAGTATAGTGACATATGTGAGGGGTTTTTTTAGAAATTTCCATTAAGGGGTACTTTATAAAAACCTAAGAAATTTACAGATTAGCCTATTAATACAAGAAATGGAGAGATGGACGAAATGTCGTCTTTTAAATACCTCCAGGGATGGAGACTCAACAACTTCCCTGGGCAGCCTGTTCCAATGCCTGACTACCCTTTCGGTGAAGAAGTTTTTCCTAATATCCAACCTAAACTTCCCCTGGTGCAGCTTGAGGCCATTTCCTCTTGTCCTATCACTTGTTACTTGGGAGAAGAGACCGACCCCCACCTCGCTACAACGTCCTTTCAGGTAGTTGTAGAGAGCAATAAGGTCTCCCCTCAGCCTCCTCTTCTCCAGACTGGTGCTTGAGGACATGGTTTAGCGGTGGACTTGGCAGTGATAGGTTAATGGTTGGACTCGATGATCTTAAGGGTCTTTTCCAACCTTAACGATTCTATGATTCTATGTCACTAGCACATGAAGGTTTTAGTAATCTTTTTTCTTTCAGGACTGAGTTTTTTTCATATATAACTTAGTAAGAATGCATCATATGAAACAAAGACAGACATGGGAAATAGTCATGTCTCATTGCTTGTTTTGAGTGAAAATGGAGATGAAAGAACTCTGCTCACAATAAAAGGAAAATTTTAACAAACTGTAGCTCAGTTAAGGAAAACCAGGCCAGCCCAAGGTATTTCCTAGAATTGCTTGCTTTCCTGGGTAGCAAATACGTTATTATATTAAGATAAAAGTGTTGTAAAGATCTCACAGCTGTGTTTGGTGACTTCAGCTTCACACTGATGATGTACTTGTACTGTCTTTACAATTACCTTAGGTAGATGAACTTGTTTTCCTAGAAGAGAAATCATCAGAAGAGACTGTTGAGGAGAATGAGGGTAAATATATTTGATTTATTTTAGAAATGTTAACAGAAAGAACGAACATCTTTTTAGTTATTTGATTAAGAATTGTGTATGTCCAGCACCAAAGACCTTTCTTTGAGTTAATAACATGAGAGGTTATGACTGAGGATATCAAACTAGGAGGAATCTTTCTTCTGTAAGGAATTAAGATATTGGACTGTCATCATTAGTGTTTTCACCCCTGCTTTGGGAACCTTCAGAATTTAGGTCCCTGGCATATAGCAGCAGTGCTACGTGCCAGGAATATTCCTGTGTAAAACTAGTGCCTGAAAGTCACTTCTACACAGTCCCTGTGTTAGCTATATACTTTTGCTGGGATGGTACTTGTTAACCCTTGGATGTTCTACAGAAACACCAAGATAGGGGCAACCTGTGAAGGCTGGAAGAGTTAATCTCCGAAGGAATGGCATGCTTTGTATTTCAGATTATTTTTAATTAACTCTTTCACCAGACTAGATTTAAGCACTAAAGAACAGACTTACATAAGATCAAAAATCCACAATAGCAGGATAAGGTTCCAAAAAGATTGAAAAATATGCACCATCCTGCTTATGAGTCTTGTGCCTATGATTTATTTCAGGCTTGTCATGAGCTGGGACCTACATCTTTTCTATTCTTATTGTTACCTGTGGCTATTGAAGCTTCCTACTGCTTTTTAGACGCACAGAACACCATTCGGCAATGTTCAGATGGAATAAACTCATCCATCCTCTCTCTTCTTCTTTATCGTGGCTTTTTTTTTCCTGTGATAAGGCATTTGATCACTGTCACAGATTAAGTTGTGTCCATTCTCCTTCCTCTTCATGTCTTCTTTATTGTATGGTTCAAGTGACATATTCCTGACCTCAGCTTTAAACCCTCTGAGATCTAGTAGTACAGTATTATAAATCATTTAGCAATTATATAGAGACTTTCCACTAATCCACAGAACCTAAATGTGTGACAAAATCAGGGAAGAGAGTTTTCAGCTTGGGTTCAGCTTCAGGTTAGAGGATCCCTCAGAAGCCATAATACACTAACACTTTTTTGGTAATATTTTCCTTACTGCATGCAGGTGCCTATGAGTGTTTTCTAGTGCTGGAAAAAAAGTAGTAGCCTAGTGTTTCCGTTAAAGCTATCAAGTTCTTCGACAGTGTTTGGGATCTGATTGAATTACATGCTAATGCTTAACTGTAAACCTCAGATTCTGCAAAGAGAGATGTAGCTTATATTCTCTTCTAACCACTTTCTGTCATTTTGCAAGGGTCTGTAAGCTATGGATGTTGTAACTGTATGTCTACAGCCAGGAACACCTCTTGTTTTAAACATTAGATTCTGTTAGCAAGCATATATTACTTCAACAGTTGTTTATTGCAAATGACTTCAGCATCCACAATGCTAAGGAAACAAGCATCTACTGTGACAAGAAATGCATATTTTACTGGAAATCTCTAATATTCATACAGATTTTCACTTAGTGAATTTTCCTTAGTAATATTAATCCCTTTCACATTTCTAGTCTTGTACATACAGAACTCCCTAGATAAAGCACCCATCTTAAGTAGTAGTTTTTCCACCAAACCTAGCTGCATGTGAACCATTTCTCCACCATATGACCCAAAACACCAGTGGTTCATCAGGAATGTGGATTCCAGGATTGGCCAAAGACAGTCCCTCACTCCAAGACATGCTTTAAGTATTGGAGTCACTTATTTTTTGGAACCACTGTTTGGCCATCTCAATATTAAAATGGAGAATTATTTAGAGAAACCAGCTTGTAAGTAATGGAAAATTCAGTTGTGTATTTATTTTGATAAATGTATTCATTGACACATTTTTTTCCCCTTTCCCAGAAGAAGTTGTCAGATATTCTGTTGGAATTATAAAACCTGATGATGTCTTAGAGGGACGCGTGGAGGAAATTAAACAAAAGGTAGACAAAATTTGAAGATTCATTCATCGTATTTAGCATAAGCATAGTAGCAAGATGTAAGATTAAGTAGATCCTAATTTTTTCCTAGACTTTAGAACAAGACCTGCTAATACTTCTCTGATCAGGATGATAAAAGCAAGATAATTTAGACCTGAAATAATATGGTATTCAGATTGACACTATTGTTTTAATATTTTATGTCACTAGGTGAGGTATGACATTGATTCATACTGTGTTGATCAGTGACATGAAATATACAAACAGAAGAGTTTTTTCCTTATATTGCAATGGAAACAAGACCTAGAAATTGTGGTGGTGAAGTTAGCTCTTCGCACGGCATCTTTAAGAGTTGTAGGCACACATAAATCAAGTAACCAGTTCTTTATGGAAGAGAGTGTGTGCGCAGGCACATATGACAATATATGTGTGTAGATGGTGAGGCTAATTCATGCATACTAGTCATTGTACGCTAATATTTGTCAGTAGTGCAGTATTTGTTCCTGCAGTGAAGAATGTGATTCCAGAAAGTACGCAAGGGTGCATCCAGGGATTCAGTATTTGTTTAAGCTGTCACACAGTGAAATAAAAATTCTTTTGTCTTCCAGAATATGATACTATAGTAATGGTCATTTCAATTACAGAAACTTCTCACTGTTTCTGTTACAAAAAATGCCTCATAACACTATATATCAAGCTAAAACTACACTAATTTTAAAAAGTGCTATGACAGGGCCAGGGACCTCTGAAGGAAAGAAAATCGGAGTGTTGTATAGGTTGTTTCTGCAATTACTCTACCTTGGCTAGAAAAGAAGGAAGCTCAGTAAAGGCAAAAAAAGCAGGCAGTGCTTGAAAGCAATTTAGCTGGAGCTAAGCAGCTGCTAGTTGGCTCTGCCTTTGCACTGCCTTATGAGGTGTGTACCCATACTGTTTCCACACTCAGCCTTGTCAAGGCAGTCTGGAAACACTCAGCAGCCTCATAGGGGCTTTTAAAGAGCAGAGTGCTGGTAAGCAGATTAATATTGGCATATGATCAGTATTGGGGCTGGGTAGTGCCTTTGTTGTTTAAATATCAGTATATGGTATAAACCTCATACCAGTGGACTATGAATTTTGATATAGGTCACGTAAGTGTGCATCTCTTACACATACTTGCATTTAGTGCAGTAATGTAACTTAAAATAGATAATCATAAAATAGATTTTATTTTTGTTTATTTGCTCTTTCTAAAGCCAAGTAGTTTAGCCAAATACAACAATTGTTGACAAGTACACATTTATATCACTACTATGATTAATATAATTTATAATAATATTTTTAGAGGTGGTTGCATGTTAATCACTCACAATGGTTAAAATGAGTTTATTCAATGTTAAATAAAAGGGATTATTAACTACTGAATGAATACATAGATTGAACTGCACTATATTTTTCACAAACATTAATTTAGTGGACATTGTAATCCTGAATTTAGTGAAGTGTTTTGAAAAGCTGGAACTTTAGTTTATGTAAACATAGCAGTTATATGTGGAATATTTTGTAGAATTTTAAACTTAAGATAGCTTCCAAAATCAATCAATCTTTAGTTTTACAATAACATATGAATTTGTATATATTCATTTTCAAATGCCACTGAGTAATAATTGAATAATTGCAGATTAGAGATGCAGGATTTGGCATTGAAGCAGCAGAGGAGAAAATGTTAACTGAAGAGCAAATCAGAGTATTCTATGCCCGGAATAAAGAACAGGTAAAACCAAACTGAAAACCTAAACAAAAGGAAGCGGTAAAACATATCATTGTAGCTACATGTGCTTGCAAATCTCTGTCTTGTAAATTTTTAGTATGTTGAAGAGCTGAATTAATGTAGATTTAGTACATAGAAAAAAGGAGATATTCTCTCTCTTTTTTTCTTACCACTTCATACAAATATGGCTTGGTAGCACTCTAACATTTCAACTAAATTAAATTGAACTCCAATTAAATATCAAAAGATTTTGTAGTTCTTTCTGTTATCAGAATGTGTATGACCCTTAGTCAGGGCCCTAAACATAGGCTGTTAGGTGCTGAAATGTAGCACAAAACCAAAATCCAGTGTCATCTATATGACAGTACTTATCTATTTGACACATACTCTTCCAGCCAGAAAATAAGTGATAGTATATATTATGTTTTTTCTTCTTTACAGCTTTTATCATGGGGTAGCACTGGGAATAAGCATATATGCACAGGCAGAAAGAGAAAGCATCTCCATTAAAGTTTATTTTTCTGGCCCTATCCTGTATTAGGGGACAACAAATAGCTAAGGGCAGACAGAAAGTTCAAGAAAACAATGAAATTATGCTGGTCACCATTAAATGGCAGTGGTCTAGCAAACTAGCACCTGAATATTGTCAAGTTCTTTGGCAGTATGATAGATAAAGTTAACTCTGCAGAAGGATCTGAATCACAAAAATGAAGTTGCTCAGCAAATATTTATGCCTTCTGCTATTTAAGATCTGCATAAGATAAAACAGAGGCTGGAATTATATGCAGACAACTAGTTCGGTTGATATTGTTAGAGGGACCAATAGAAGGGATCAATGAAAGGGTTGGCATAATCAAAAGAAGAAGCTGGGAAAGTGTTCCTGTGGCATTCCCAATGAATGAGAGTGAGACAAGATGGTTCCTACTGAAGCCAGAGGGAAAAAGGAAATCTGATAGTAATCACCAGATGGCTGCACTATTGTTTAGAAAGAAAGTAACAGTGAGGCCTTGTAAGGAATTGTGAAGAGCTTGGTTTTGGCAAAGCTGGGATTCCAGTTTAGACAGAGACAGTTTTGAAATAAAGGTAAAAATAAGCTATCTTCATGGGAACAGCAGCCAAATTTGAGATTAGTTAGGTGTAGAGGGAGACAGGGGAGGAACAAAGACAGGGAAAAAGCATGCAGTGTTTGATATATGGCAGCACTACTACCCCACAGCAGATCCTAGCCAACATTAGGACAGGGAGAATAACAAAACTACTATGAACTATCAGAAGCGGTTATCGAGAAGCCAATTATTTGCCATTCTTTAAGTATGGTTCTAAGCTGAAAAATAATTATGTTAAAGTGACAACATGGAATATAGATTCCTTTGAGCTCAGTGGGCAAAATTATTCCTGATTTAATACTCTGCAAGCTTGCTGAAGAGTAGGCTGCCTGTTATAACAGAATGGAGACTCAAGGTAATAGACCTTCAGATATAACTGGAAGGAGAAATTGTTTCTTTTTAACGATAAAGCTGGGTGAGCCAGGAGAGCCAACTCTAACAGACATGATGTGAGCAAGTGTACTTTTGAAGCCACAACAGTACAGATTCTCCCTTTATGCATTGTACTAAATGTTTTTGTACTTGTATCGATTCTCTTTTGAGTTTGTTCATCTTGTGAAATGGGTTAAGTGTATGCATAGATATGAAGATAATTGAAAGAGAAAAGTAATTAATTGAAAGCGCACATGAATATTTCATCCTCATATTATTAAAGGAAAAATGTATCATACACAATCAGATGAGGGTGACTGGTAAAGAAAAGATTTAGTCAAATATTTAAGAGGAGAGAAAAATATTTGAGGAAATTCACAATATTGAAGAAGAAGGTGACATACAAGGAAAAAAAGATTAAAAACTCACAACAGTTTCAAAAGTTATTTTCTGATGAAAATGTACATTTATAGGATTGAAGGTTGAAACTGGAGGAGTGAAAAGAACATAGCAAAGAGAATGAAGTAAAAGCCAACAAATGTCTTGCAAATATCTCAGTATTCTGTATTTGCAGCCAGCTACATGATTTTTAGTTTCAAAAATTATGCCTGGAACTGTATTGCAGTTTGTTATGTCACACTATATGTGCTACAGCAAGCATAGCATTTGATCACATCAAGTTTCTAGATCATTTTCTTCACTCTTGTCATTTGCATTTTAACCTGCAAGAACATGTGGCACTTGCTTAATGTAATTTTATTACTTCATTTACCTCAATTAACTGTGTTTTAGACATTTTATAGTAGTGTTGTCTCAAATGACTGATCAAAAAACTTCCCAAACAATTTGACAGGGTTTTGAGTAATATATGTGAATGCCATTTTAGAACAGGAACTATGAGTTACTTTGGAAAGGATGGTCATCTCATTTCTGATTATAAACTCAGAGTTCCTGCAATTCATAGGGTAAAAATTATGTTTTTTAGCCTGATTTTGATGATTTTGTTCAATTCATGATGAGTGGACCATGCCACGTTTTGGTAATCACTAAAAAAGAAGCAACTGATGCTATTCCTCACTGGAAAGAACTACGGAAATCGAGTAAGGGTGTGCCTGATGAGCCTGAGAAGCCAGACAGGTAACTAACAGTGAAAATGTGCATATGATTCAATTACAGTATTCAGAGCACACCAGAAACACAAATCACATAAACACACCACATTCTTGCAGATGCTCACATGTCCATATGCACAGGGTCCAGGGAACAGGCAGAGTTCAGCTGATCTTCCACAAGACCATTACTAGAGATGCAATCATAGTTCCTGTGGGAACAGAAACTACTTGCTTCCTAGGTAAAGACAACAAGCAAAGAGCACTGATCCCTCGCCATTTCTCAACTAGCCTTGAATAGGTTGTCAGACTGACGGGAACAGCGCTATACGTCAAAGCTGATGTACTCCATAAAATTCCACTTCATACTAGTTCACCCAGACAAAGTGACCACCAGCATTGCCCGTTGAGGGTTGCACTCTTGCCCATGTTTACTCTTATGTATGCTGGAAAGCTGTAGATGTGGCCCATGGGAGACTAGGGGACACCTGAAACATGCTGTGCTCCCTGGGACCACTCTGTAAAAGCCAGCAAACAAGTGGGAAGGTTTTGGATTTTGTTCCCCTTCCACTCCAAGACGCATAAAAGCATTGTAAGGATTAGCTGTTCACAACCATGGTATCTTGAAATGTCTGTTCTCCTATGCCAAATATTTGTAGAGAATTTTAAAGAGGATGATAGTTGTATACACAGCATCAGACAATAGAGTGTTCACAAAAATTCAAATATTGGATCCAGTTTTACATTTAGACATGAGATTTACTTAAAGCAACATGAATTTAAATACTTTGTTCCAAAAAAGAACTTGTCATCAATATTTTTGTTGATGCCTGCTGCATCCCTTTCTGCATTAATTTAGTACAACTGAGGAATATTGCATTTTCTGTAAGTGGCCAAGAGTGACTGTATTTACATAGCTAAATAAACCTTAGAAATACAGGCAAGTAACAATGAGCAGTATCTCTGTTAAAGACAATTCCGTAGTGCTATCAGTTTTGGGTTTTTTTTTCATGCTATACATAAATTAAGCACAATCCTTTTATTGATCATTCATTATACGCTGTACACTTGTCAGTGGTAATTCTGTCTAATGAAACAGAGAGACTCTTTTGAATAAGCTAGAGGGGAATTAGAAAAGCTGCATGGCTGAGACTTCTCATTCATATCACATGACAAGGCACTTTTTGAGAAGATTAATAATTCTCTTCTCAGAACCAATATTTCAGTCATGAATCTGAATTTAATAAAAACTTAGTTTGGCATTCTATTCTTATGTTTCACTAAACTTTAAGAAAGTACATTTTCAAGAAGTCAACTATTAACACAATGCATGCAGTAACTTAAATATTGTATTACTTTGTGTCTTGTTAGTTTGGAAGGAACCATGGAAACTGAGAGTATATTAAATATATGTGATGTCGAAGACAGTATAGAAGATGCCAGCAGGCAACTTGCCTTCTTTTTCCCAAATTTTGATAGAAAGAACACAGACCAAAAAGTTGAAAAGACTTTGGCCTTAATTAGACCTTCTCTCTTAAAGGAAAGACGGCGTAAGTGTTAATAACTACATCTTCCATCTAGTGTATAGAAAAAGTCTCATATTTTAAAAACTCTAACTCTACTAATGAAATGTTCTTATGCTATATTGTCTCACCAGCATTAAGCTGACAGTAATCTTTGTCAGAAAAAGAGTTACATGGTTGATGTTTTTGATATATTGAGAATGTAAATTTCAATGCTATTTTGTTCCTTTGCTTGATTTTTCAAGAATGTCTTTAGATTGTGTATTTGGATGGAATGTTTCTACAGGACCTCTCAGATAAGCTAGCAGTTTCAAAGTATAGTGTAGGGGATCACACTTTCTGCCGTAATAAAGTACCTGATACTATCCTTGAATGACAGGTCAATGGTAGATCAATGGCAAGGTGAAAAAGATCTAACCCAGGATGTCTTATGCTGCACAAGGCAGTGCTGCACAAAGGCAGGTCTATACAGACGTTTTTACAGATTAAATCAGAAAATCTACCCCATTAGCATGAAGATCCATCCAAACAAGTTTACTTTTCTTCTCAGGCATATATTTTCATTTTTTTTCCTAGATTCTAGGTCGCACTTTTATTTTTGACTTGAGAACCTCTGTACTGGAAATAACCTATACACAGAGATCTGAAAGACTACAATTTTGACCTCTCCTTGTGTATTAATTTTCTTGATTGTTATCTAGTATGTTGCTAGAGCAGCAGTTTTGCAGTCCATGTATGGGTAATTATAGAGTCATTTTGACTTGTACCAAACACTGCTTACTTATGCATATGGTCTTGTAAGACTTAATCAAATGAATATTCACCTATTCAAAATCCTTAGACCTTCTTTTGGTGATAGCAACATATATCATATTTCTCAGTCAGGAATTCCTACTGAGGTTTCTGAAGTGAGAGAAAGCCTTAAGAAAGTGAGCATCAGCTTTCTGAGTGTCCAGGACACTACTGAAGCCCTCTAGCAGTTGCTTTAAGTTAGTTTTCTGTTCTCCAGTTAAAAAATTAATTCACCTGTAAAAATTTAACATTATGACTGGAAAGTCCGCGTCATTTCTTCGCAAGTGTGCAAATTAATGAATGGATGGCAATTTAGCATTATTTCAATATTTTAAACAGATTCTATCATGCAAAGAATAAAGGATGATGGATTCCAAATAGCAATGCAGAAAGAAATAATCCTCTCTGAAGAACAGACACGTGAATTTTACAAAGAGCATGAAAATCAAGACTACTTCCCAATCCTTCTAGAGCAAATGACCAGGTACGTTGAATGAAAAAAGAGTATGGTGATCTATAACTAAGACTGAAATTTTCACAATGAATAATTATCCTGAATAATACATGGCTACAAGACACCCATGTATCTGAGAGTTTAGTAAAACTCAAAACCAGGACTAGACAACTGCAGATAATGAGATAATTACCAAGTATAGTAGATAAATAAATCAGGTTTTTAAAAATTACTAGCTACTCCATATCTCTGTATGCAGCATGTTGAAGTCAGTGGCCAGTTCCATTGATTTGGGTGAAAACAGTTGAGCTCTGCTCTGGAAGGCTGCATTTAGGTTGCCTGTAGGAGAGTTCTGAAATCTTCATCCAGCTTTTGTGCTGGATTCCTTGGGGAGGAAAAATAAATCGTGTTTAAATATTGCCTTCATATGAAGTTGGGACATGGCTGGGACAAATACAAAAACTTAGGAGCTGTTCAGCATTTTTATGTCTAATAATAAAGACATAGCTCATTTCTACAACACTCTTGCTGTCGTGTTAACAGTCAGTAACTTTGAAATTTAAATTTGCATTTAAGCCCCATAAAGTTTTATAAGACCGTAGCTGTTTAAATGGAGATGGGTTTTTAAATCCTCCAATACTAGGACTCATTTTCCTGGCCTGGACTATACATAATCAAATTCTTTTTACGAATTACAGAGAGTTTAATATTTGATGTTTTTAATGCCAGTTTTCCCATTTTACAGTGGTCCAACTCTTGTACTTGCTCTAACACGAGAAAATGCTGTAGCACACTGGAGAGATTTATTAGGCCCAAAGACTGTTGAAGAGGCGAAGAAGGAAAATCCGAACAGGTAATACTTACAATAGTAAACTACCATTCACAGCTTCCAATTTACTTTTGCGTTGCTCGTCTCAATGAATACCACATTTCAACTGGTGTAACTATAGTGCCATCATCTGGAAACTGATACATATTTCTGCAGTTTGTAAAGCTTTTCTTGGAAGAAGTGTTGTATTACATGTAGTGACTATAGCATTTTTTGAGAAATAATGTATATTAAACATAATGAAAAGCTGAGTTTAAAAAAAGAGTATTGAAACAAAAGAAGATCTCTTGGGTCAGAGAAAAATCCTTGTCTGCTAGAAGCACATACCACAGGAAGAATTCACCTGTAATAATCTTTTTATAATTTTGCTCTGATGGTCATATGAACAGGTTACTTGGCTATTAAGTTGAATCTTTGTGACCATGGATGACAATTTTTAGGTTTTGTGGTCTACAGAAGTATTGCTATTAATTTTCTACGTGGAAAAAATATTGGTAATATGTCATGCTTATTGATCTTTTTGCTTGAAGTAGCACCATTATTTTTTAGAATAAATGCTTATTTTCTTAGCTTAATTAAAACTTTCCATCCATAGCATATGTTATTTGTGACTAAGTTTCTTCTACACATTTTATAAATGAGCATCTTAGTTTTACTTGCTTATTTTATTGTTCTAAGAAACTGCTGTGGTATCATCTTACCTGTTGTGTTTCATTAAGCAAGAACTGTTATTATTTTGGAAATATAACAAGATGACTGTTAGGAGGGAAGGTGTTCATATTGCAGGCAGTTAATTAAAAAGCTGATTGTTCTTTCTGTAGACTATGAAGACTTCTTACTCCTACAGAGAGATCATCAAGCAGTTAAGTCACCAGATCAACATTAATTTATATTCACTGGGATAAGGCTAGTCGTAGTTGAAGCTCAAAATGGCTATTCCTTTAAGTAACTTATTCTTTTAATGACTTTTAGTTTACGTGCAAAGTATGCAGTCAACAACGTACCTATTGGTCAACTGCATGGTAGTTCTACACCCAGTGACGCTCAGAAGGAATTACAGTTCTTCTTCCCTCAGGAGCACACACTGGCATTAATCAAACCTGCTGCTGCTAAGCAACATAAAGGTAAATGATCTAGAAAGTATGGGCTATGTCTACAGATGCAATTTCTACAAAATATTAGCAATGTACACTGCAGTAAGTCATGTCAGATGCATTCTTTTTATTCTCTGAAATGCTTTTTCTGTGCAGAGAAATGCTTTTAGAGGGCTTGCATAATTCATATTGAGGTCTCAAATGTCATATTTCCTTTGTTTAGGCTGCGTATAGCTCTTTCTGCACAAGAATAGTGGTGAATTGACTTGAGAGAGTTCTTAGCTAAGTTAAACAGTTTAAAAACCAGGCACTTGCGCAAACTCGCCATTCAGCATCTTTCTAAGTCAAAGGAGAGAGAGGCTTCCTAAAGTCATGTTACTTATTTCAAACAGGTATCTCTACTGACTGAAAAGGGGTTGTTGCTTAATTGGATGCATTCCCATCCTTAGTTTAAGTCACTGTTAGACAAAGGGAATGAGGAGGAAAGGTCAAAGTATACCATGTACAATCTGGAATGTTACCTTAAAGATTTTTGCTGCCACTTTTTTTAAACCCTCTATCCAGAGCCTCTTCTTGGCATTCTTCTTTTCTGTCCTAACAAATTTCATTAGTCTTTCTAATGTTTGGGTGTTTTTTTGCATCTAAACTTTCTAATGTTAATTCATCATTGTCTTTTGTGAGTCTTTCTTCCTCTCTTGTAACCATCCAGACTGATTTTAGCAGGCCAGCTGGTGTGTGATGTAGCATTGCACTGACAGTCCATGTTCTATCCAATGTGAGAAACAGCAGTGAAAGCTACTGGTATAGTTTGTAACAGTCTGGGTTTGTCACCTGCATAGAGATGGATTAGTGCAATGACAATGGTTTCTGTGTATTTTAGAGGACTATTGAAGTGTTTGTCATATTGTCCATGATTGATACTGTAAGTAGAATTTTAATAGGTACAGGTGATTTTTTTTTAAAAGCATCTAGTATTTTCTGAAACTTTTAAAATTTGGGTGTTTTTTTGCATCTAAACTATTTAAATCAAGAATGAGTTTGCTTGTTATTCTCCTAGGTGACATTATGCAAAAAGTTAAAGATGCTGGATTTACCATCTCAAAGATTAAAGAAGAAGCTTTAACTCGTGAAATGGCTACACAGTTTTACAAGGATCACAAAGGAAAACCCTTTTTTGAAGAGTTAGTGACTTGTATGACTGAGTAAGTGTCTCATTGTACAATACTGAGATATGTAAGTATACATCAAACTTTGAATTTACAGTGCCAACAAAACATGCTACACCCAAAGTGGGCTAAGGATTTTACACTCTGTCACTCTTTCTGGCAAGTTTAATGGCTTGAATGCTCTGCCTTTAAAAGGAAGATTTAAAATTCTTTCCAAACTTATGAATAGTGACTATTACTTTGGATTTTTTTCTCAAAAAAAAAGAACTAATTTCTGGTGGAATTCTTGTTCCTCCCATGTAGGACAAATATCTTCCTCATAATATTGTTAGTATAGCTGTTGATAAAACAGTATGTATTGCCTTGCTTCAGAAATTTTTGGGTGAGAATCTTTCTAGGACAAAATGTCCAAATCCAAATAGCTGATCATCATAATCTTTTTGGCTTTCAAATACAGGACATTGTCTTAAACAAAACACTCAGAAACAAATTTAAAAATTTAAACAATTTTTAGAAAGTCAGGTAGTGTGATGCTTACCATAACCCTTCATGGTACCTCTGAAGTCAAAGCTAAGTCTGCATCTCAGAATAGTGTAAGAGCTTCATGTATTGATTTTACAGGGGCCCATCGGTGATAATGATCTTAACAAAGGAAAATGCTGTGGAAGAGTGGAGGCAGCTAATAGGTCCAACCGATCCAGAAGTGGCAAAAGAGACCTCTCCTGAATCAATTCGAGCTCACTTTGCACAAGATATTTTGTCTAATGCTGTTCATGGATCATCTAATAGAGAACATGCACTGAAAAGCATTGAATGTGTATTTGGAGAGATTGATACAGACTGAACAATTAAGATACAATTTCTGAAAATTTATATTCATGTCATTAGATGCATTTGTCTACCCAACCACCTATATTTAAGACTATATATACACACATATTTTCCTTCATACTCCATCCATTTTTTTATCAGCCAGTTTATCAGCTTTGCCATATTGCAAAGCATATCAATGTAACAAGTAATACCTGCTAGAAGTTCGACGTTAGTAATGATTTCTTTATGTATGCTTAGTAGATAGTTTTTCTTTCATCATTTTAACAGATTTATGCCTTTCCAATAGTTCCAGGAGTCTAAGGTGTTTTGTACATAACTACTTGAAAAAAAGCAGGGTCGAGGAAGGTCATTAAAACACTGTTAATGACATGTCCACTGTGATGTGGATGGAGTCCTCCAGTTCAGGCAGTCTACAGAGGAGAAGTGCTGAAAGGTAGTGGAGGCACTGCTACAATATTGGCAGGGAGCAGCAGCAAGTGTGGGAATGCCCCACAAGGGAGAAGGAGCCAGGAACTAAGCATGACCACAGCACGGGCTGTGCCCTCACCAGTGGGGCGCAGCCCCACAGCATCCAAGCAGAACTGGGTAGCCACATCCATCAACAATTCCAGACAAATCAAGTAATGAACCAGGTCCAGGACACATTCAAGGGTCCAGTCAGGAACAACAGCCAGAGGGCCAGAGACAGGTACTCCTGCAACACAGCTCACACAAAGATTAAGACCAAGTGTGGGCTATAATGGGGCTCCTGGGCCCATTGGCCAATGGTATGGATATGCATCCCAGGTGAGACTCCTCAGGGTTATTAAGGCCTATTGGTTCCCTCAGGGCACTGAAAAACATTTGCATTGTTTATTTATCCTTTCCCTAAACATCTTCTAACGATTACTGTCACAAGTAGGATAATAAAATAGAAGGTCCTTTCCAGTCCATTTACTCAATTCAAATATATAAGATGAAGTAAAATATAAAGTCAGCTCTTACATAACAACTATTCTTGACACATACCTCCTTGCCAAACTAGTGAATTTGTATTCTGTCTCAGTCTAACTTGGCTGGCCTTGATGAAGAACACAAAAATTCTTCCGTAGCTGATATATTCTCACTTTTGCTGTCCGAGTCTGTTGAAGGTTGAGATACTAAAGAATGCCATTCAATTAAAGCAATTTACTTACGGCATTGATTATAAATGCGAAGTCCAGAAAGAATGAAGTCTGTCTCACACTTTCTTTATTGCTCCTATTGTATTTAATACAACTAGCTGTTTTAAAGAGCTTCCTGACAAATATTTCTGTTGTGATGGGGCATTTGTTATTATAGACATTCCTCCAGCAGAAGTTGGACTAAGCATTCTCCTGTGGCCCATTTTCACCTACAGCTGCTTTACTGCCATAAACTTGACTTGAGGCTAGCTAGCCTGTAGGAAGCTGTGATTAGTGCAGAATTTCTATGTCGCCTCATGAGGTGAGTTCTGAGAAAAATACTTCAGAATTGCTGTATGGTTTTTGGCTTGTTTTTTTCCTTCAAAAATCCATTAAAACTGTTCTTCCTGGCATTATTTCAGCACTCTGTGTCTTTTAGGTGCTGGCACACTGTACTTGAAACTAAGAAGCAGTTTCAGAAAAGGACTGAGTAGGGCAATTTCAGATATATCAATTAATTTCCCAAAATCCTTGCTAGAGTTAATGGCTTCTCTACCAATGGAGCAAATACAGTGTTGAAGGTTTAGATAGGATTATTTTTTGACAGGAGCAGAAATGCTGAAACAGCAAGATATGTTTATGTTTTAAGAGTTCATTAATCTACTGATGGAAGTTCACAACCAAATAGTAAATGTTTGATAGGTATCACACACAGGTTTTGAATACTGTGGATTATTTATTGCACTGATCTTAGAAGCCCCTTAGCTGTAGGGGTACAGGAGCTTTGCCTGGTTAAATGTGATATAATTTTATGTACTGAGTTATTGCTTGTTTAACTATCATTCTTCATCCTCCATTACATCACTCTCAAGCAATATGGCATTTTTTCCTGTTTGGTTTAACTGTTAGCTGTTGAAGGACTGCATTTATTTGAGTTCATATATTCATGTGTGTCACTTATGACCCCTGCTTGGGGGATCATAAGTGCTTGGTTAAAATGATTCAGTAGATTACATTGAAATATTATGCATAGATCTATGACAGCTTTTCTACCCATTGCATAAGTATGCAAACCCAAATTGAAATGTGGGAACATTTAATTTATTAATGCTTATTTGCTTGTCCTAAATATGTTCTTGATCTTAATGTCTTTTAGCAGCTTTGGAAAGGAGGAATTTAAGAGTTACATTTCAGAACAATAAAAATAACTGTTTCAGTCAGCTGATGGAGAGATTCAGATTCACAAAGGTTGTGTATCTTTGAGCTACAGACTTTTGTAGAATTATCAAAATATCATGTATTCAAAAGCATGGCAATTGAAATACTGTCAATATCTTAACAGATTACTTTGTCTCTTTAAAAGTTTAACTCAAGACTTAGGTATTGTACACATAATTTAGACTGCCATCCACTCTTCTTCGAATTTTATATTACTGTGACATAGACATGGATGTAATGTTTAAGAGTTTGAGCACTTGTGATGGGATCAGCAAACATTTGCATTTATAGAGTCAGGAGGAATGTGTTCCAACATAAACTCAGTTGAGTCTCACAGATGAAAATCTCCTTGCAATTAAATTTACACAGCTCCTCTGCCTACAAATCTTACAGAAAGTCTGACTCTGTCCTTTTATCATACCTAAATGCCAGACCAAAAGAGAATGTGACCTTCATAGCCGTTTATTTAGAAAATATCTCGCGGCAGCGCAGAATTAGGTGGTGCAGAGTTGTGATGAAAATTCTTCCAACACTAACAGAAGATAACATAATTATTCTTCTGATTTTTGTCCCAGCAGGAGGGAAATGGAACCACAGGACATGTTTATTTGTACAACAGACCACATATTTCCTTGTTTAGGAACTTTAATAAAATCATAATCTGACACTAAGACTATATTAAAGATCTGTTTCAATTTAGAATAATAAACAAACTGGTTCTAAATCTCAAAATACCGCTTAAGAAGATTTAGTATGTCTGATTGTAGTGAGTATTTGTACTGAATTACTGCATAATAAAATAAGAGAAGTGGGGAAAAAGCTTTTTTCCCCGCCAAGAAGATGGAGTCAATCAGCTTGTGGTTGTGTACTGCTGCACTGTTTTTCCTTTGCTCTGGCTGCTGAATGATCTGCACTGGCAGGTCAGACCTCGCAAGTATCTGTTCACTTTATCCACAGTTCTTTGTAAGGAAATGATTAGCTTTCTGATTACCTTGTTCAGAGGATAAATGCTGATGTTCTCTGAGTATCTACAAACTAAAGTTTTCATTATACTGTAACCAGAAGGAATCAAAATAGTTAGGGTGTTGGTCTGTTTGGGGCATCTCTTGATCACTCTGATGCATCCATCAACCGTCTATCTGTAACATACACTGTCTGACATATTTAAGGTACTTTTGGGGTTTGATCTCAGAATTCCCATCTAGAGAAAAGGACTACGCCCTCCCTTCCAAATACTTTCATTTATGCTTATTGCCATACTGGTTTATGCACAAGCCTTTTGGCAGCAACAACAGGAGCCAGTCTGATATTAATAGGCTACCTGGAACCCCTTGAATTTACTGCTTCTCTAAGAATCAAGTTTGAAAACCTGTTTCACCTTCCATTAAGGCTGGCGTTCACTTTTGGAGATGTTACAAGAAATACAGTGTCAGCAGCTGAAATCAAATGTAGATGCTTGACTAGGTTTAATTAGAAGTAATGTACCTCTACAGAAATTAAATACTTATTTGTAGGTCCTTGCAAGTTATTACTTTTTACCATAAATGGAAACATAATTTTGAATCTTTGTTGACCCATATTGATGGTTTTATATTTATTTACAAAATTAATTGGAGCTGATGTGGTTTACCAGAAAAATCTGGTTGAGGAAACGTTTTCAAATGTGCATTTACATTCAATGACTTAGCCCAACCAAAAAGTGTGTGTCAGTTGTGCATAACTGGAGTAAATATTTTTTCAGGTTTCATTCATTTGGAATCTAGGTTAGAATGCTGGATAAAATAATTTAAGAGCTGTTTGAGTATTTTGGACTGGAAAATCTTCATTTTATTTGTACGGGAAGTATTTCTCAGTTATATGCAATGACTGGATAAAAGTAACAAAGCTGCAACACTGAGTTGAATCAAAGTGACCGGGTCATTCAGGTCATGTTGGAGGGGGGTTTATGACGTTTTTTTAAATGTGGTTCATAAAAGAGTTCTGATTTGCATTTACAGTGAGCTTCTAAAACAGGGCCAATTATTCACAATTAGAGTAAATATTTTTTCAGGTTTCATTCTTTTGGAATTGAGGTTAGAACATTCAGTGAAAATATTCAATGGCATTTCTTACTAAACCGGGTACCTCTGTGTGGGAGGTAGTAAGAAATGCACTAGAAACATCTGTTCGGTGTTCCAGGCAATTTTTATTTTATATGAAAAAGATGCCAAGCCCCGCAGCTGTAACACTGAGAAAAAACATTTGACACTTCAAGTTTTGCCCTGTGAATTTTTTCAGCTGTAAATAGGCACAGTAATTACTTTCCTCCATCAGCGGACTATTTGCCCACTCTGCTAAACTGAGGTTCCATGACTCCGGTCCTGGGGTGCACTAGCATGACAATGACTACACCTGGCCACGGATGTGCACAAGGAGAGGTGAATCTGACTTTTTGCCACATGCTGGGGAGCAGAAGTGGTGAGTGGGCCACGTGGGGTTGCAGGAGGATACATTTGCCTGCTCCAACAGCCCTCAGTGCTCCAACAGCCCTCAACGCTCCAACATCTGTTTCGCACCTTCCCAAGGGCAGGGCAGCAGGCTGGAGTGCAGGGATGTTCTGGGTCTGCCTTCAGCCAGCATTTCATGTCGCAGTGAGTTAAAAATTGTAAGGGATTTTCAAAACGGAGTGAATTATATTAGTGTTGAATTGGGTTGACCCATGGCTGCTTAAAAAGTAGAAAAAAATTATTTTGGGAAAACAAAAGGAACAGTAAGGGAAACCTTACTAATTCATCCCCCGTGTCTGCACATCTGTTCTTTGTATTACGATATCCCCTGCTTTTTGCTGTGTTGACTTTCCTTCTTCCATATTTTTTCAATATAAGAATGAAAGTTAGTCAGCATAAAGCACACATAAAAAACATCAAGGACTTTGGAAACACCGGGCTTGGTGCATCAAAGTTTATTCCAGCATACTGGAATCTTCAGTCCAACAATGGTAATTTACAGAAGGAATGGTGACAATTCTCTGTAGAAAATATTTTTTATATTTTTTCTCCAATATCAAAAAATGAAAAAAGTTTGATTTTAACAGCTGTAAAATAATATGTAAAATTGCTATGAAGTCTAGCTAGCCGTTCCAAAGGTTTCATTCAACAAACACCACATTTGACAACGTTCACAATAAAACTCGTTGAAATGAAATATCACAACTTTGGTATTTGTTATTTCAACATCACATTGATGGGACTGTCATTCATTTTTAATAGCTAACCTTATACATATTTATTGGGGTACTTTAAATTAGGATCAGTAGGTAATCAAAGCTTAAGAACTCCTGCTACACAGTAGATAAAACTATTTTAGAAGCTTTCCAATCATGCTGATCTTTTAGATCATGCTTACTTAAGTCAGCATTTTCAAACTCACCTAATTCAGTCACCTGCAGTGAAATTCTGTCTCCTTTGATCTCGATTTCAGTTTTTCCATTTCATTGTACAGGATTAAGATTTCACCTATAGTCTGTATTTAGGCACTGAAGTTTGTGGTCTGTTTTTTTAGACACATAATTCCCACTAAAGTCAATAGACGCAATATGTGCTCAGCATTCCTGGCACCTGGATTGAGTTTTGAATCTAATTCTGCAGATGTTCCATGGAGATAAAGTTCTGCATCTGCCCAGAATTAGCAGGAAGGGCTACATTCAAATGCTGACCTTTGCATATTTTAACCAACTGCTCAAAACTCAACCAATGATCCTGTAGGGTTGTTTTTTTCCCCCTGAACTAGCCTATACACTATTGTTCAATTTTTCTGTAACACCCCTGACCCTTTGTTTTAAGCATTTTGACTTGGCATCTATGTCTTCCGCTTGTGTTAGCATATTACCAAGTGTATTACTGCTGCTACCAAAATCACTCCAGCATATTCTGCCTTAAATTTCATATATGCAAATTTCATTGGAATTCTTGTAATAACATAGATCATTATACTGATATGATGAGTTGTAACTCTTTAGGTTAACCTACACAGAACTCTTTCTGACGTAGACCCTCTCTATTTTAGAAATGCTCATTTTGTTTTATAGATACCAGAATTGCCAAGTCTAGTCATTAGTTTTGCTGCAGGAATTATTGAAGGTCTTTAAGATGTCTATCATGAGCTCTTACAATGTCAATGCAGGTGATCTTCTTATGTGTTAACAGAAGTCAGACTGTGCTAGCCATACTGTCTTATCCAGGTAGAGCTTGGGCAGGAATAGCATAAATACCATCTTGGAGTTATGCCAATTAGATTTATATCACCTTTGCTATTTTACTATCTCACAGGGCAAATGTTGTCAGTAAAACTTAGTACATAAATAAAAGCATCTGCTTTGTCTGTGACCCTTTGCAGAGTAAATGTTACCTTCTGATCAGCAAAACTGCAGATAGCCAGTTGTTTTGAGAAGTTCAGGAACAGGGACAAGCCACATGTATATATTTATTTATTTATTTATTTATTTGGTATCAGAGAAAGATTCAGAAACATGGTGACAAATGATAAAAAATTATCCAAGTGAACACTGAGCCACATGAAGCCCTATCTTCTCTTTAATACTGTACAGTAGCTGTCAGTTATGTTTAGAATAATGCTTCTATTCCAGTTTTCATAACAAAGCTATATTACAGCAAACATAAGTGTTACTTTTAAGAATTCTACAGATCTGCTTCTCTTTAATCTGTCCTTTTAAAAAATACCGATTTTTCAATTAGATGCTTAAATATATTTGAAATTATAACAACAGAAGCCAGCCTGAAGTACAATAAAAAAATTAAATGTCTGCTTTCAATACATTTTTGCTACACAAACCCACAAGATCCAGTACTGACACTGTAAGCATATTTCTGGCACACAGGTAAAAATAATCACATAATGCATACCCAGATGCTTATTGGTAAACTATGCTTCTGAATGCTCTCAACAAGGGCTGTGATTCCAAATAGCAGATAGATTCAGCTCCAGCAGCTGCAGTGGTTGCTGCCCCAGATGTCAGCCAGAGGTCACCATCCCTCTGCTGCACCTCAGCTGCCATGGTTCTTAGCTCACCAGACTAACTCACAGACTAACTCACCAACTACTAAATGGGTGCACTTTCTGAGGAGGGAAGAGATGCCCCATGCAGCTCTCCAACCTCTGGCAGGGAAGCAGGGCTGGCAACCGGCATAAAGAGTTAAAACTTCTGGCAGCCAAGGCTAGATCTACCCAGAACTGCAAATCAGAGCCCTAAGATAAAGTTCAGTCAGCTTGAATATGCCTACCACATATTAGTGCAAACCTACACTCTATGGCTTGCAGTGGCCTGAAAGGAAAAGCAAACCTTTTAAAAGTGAAGTGCAGCAAAAATGTCTATGTAGAAACTGCCATGAGTTTTTAAGTCGATGAGTTCTGGATTAATAAAACATGCCGACCAAGCCAGATTGTGACCCTCAGCATGAAGGAAAAGTCTTTCCTGTTGGAAATTTCACACTCATACTTTTTTAGGGTTGATTTCTTTCTGGCCATTTCTTACTTTAGTGGCCTTTTTGGGGCCACTGACCGGTGGGTTGGTGTTCTTGGTTGATGGTTTTGGGGGTCCACTCCGACCACTGCGTCCTGCATTCTGGTTCTTACTGCGGGCCGTTCGCAGCTTTTGTTCTTGCAGTCTCTGTTCCCACCTCTGTGGAAATGCAGAAGACAAAGAGGCTGAGTTAGGGAAGGACATAATCATAAACAATTATGTTTTAATCAAAGCTATCCTGAACTACTGAAACTAGTACTGCTTTTAACAGTTTTGTGCTCCATCCTGCAGGGCCGTTGATGTCAGTATGTTATGGCTGTCTGCAAGGGGAACCTGCCACATGTTCTTGGGTGGGGGAATTTGCACGATATCAGTTGATGAAAATGACAACTGCACATCTCGTGTGCATGCTGCATGTGAATGCCCATCTCATGTCTTTTCAGAAATCCAGGGGAGCTGGCACCACGCCATCAAAAAGACGGGATCTGCACACTGGGACTCCTTTGCAAACCCCTTCTTTGCTGTCTTACTGAACGTGCCACTTGACTTTTCTGCAGAAAAGTCTGCAGAAAGCAGACTATCCTTTCACAATATGTATTTAAACACACAGCTACAAGGGAAGGTGGTCTTTACTTTCTGGTTCTGGTTTCCCCTGGGGTGGAGAGGACTGGGCATGAAAGAGCTTATGTTACAGACAGGCAACAGAGATGACCACTGAAATCACAGTGTTCAGAGTTGCAATGGGATGGTTGTGAATAACGCACCTGTAGCTTTATTCAGCAGCATCCCTGAGAAATTTTGAAAAGCAGTTAGATCAAAGAGCCCACCAAAGAGAATGGCTGTCAGATTTCCAAACCCAAAAGTGCAGTGGTTAGAAAACAGATTTTTACAGTGAGGTTAAGTGGTTAGGTGGGCCAAAATATGGAGAGATCCACAACAGTGCAGCAGAGACTGCAGTCTTTCACCTCTAGAAACAGAAATACTTATTTTAAGGAAAGCAAGGTAGATGATAGTAGAACCTGGAAGGGGTCTCACCTCTCCCCTCTACTAATGAACTTTCTCTTCTGAAACTCCCAAAGGCAGGGGCTTTGCCCAGTGATCAGAGCAAGAGAAGTGCTCTCCAGCTTTCCTATTTAGTATCTCTGCACTGACCCTGTTGCAACTCAGACTCGTCCTGGCTAGAGAAGAGACCAGCCATGTTGTGGTTATGTTAACAGCTGTCTTCTGTGGTCCACAGACAGCTCAAAACATTCATTTTAAGTGGTAACTCAAGACAAAAGTTGGATGCAAGTCTTCAGAGGTGAATGATGGGCATTAAAATGAAGCCACTGTGATACCTAGCTCCATACTGGCTATCTTTGTGTAGTCAGGGTCATTATACGCATCTTTTATAAAACAAAAACCATCAGCAGGCATTTAGGTGTGTCCCACTCAAACATGTTTAAATGAGGATTTAATTTATGAAACTATTAATATCAGAGGGAATGACACATACTTTAGGAAGCATTTTGTTTGGCAGTCATGCATCTATTTGACAGTCTGGAAATGAATGTCCAAACAGCTTTCAAGACACAATTAGAAATGACAAAACAGTGTGAGGAGGCCACTAAAACACACTGCCTGCCAGTAACAGGCCATTAAGTTGACAGCTAAGGGATTTCAAGAGTCTGACTCATATGTCAGTATTCTCCTAAATCCCACATGGTATCATCTGCAATTGCAATGTATTTATTTTTTAAAGATTTAAAGCATATTTTCTTTTTCACACATAGGTTTTACATGAGCAAGTGAGGAGAAAAGGGAATGATAAAATATCAAAAACAATATCCTGCAAGAAGTTGGTCTGTAATCAAAAAGCTTCTACTGATGGATACATGCATCCTTTTTCCCCCTCTCTATCAATTGCCAATCAGCTCATAATTAAAATAAATATACATTTATGTCTTTAATGCTCTGAAACCTTTTCTGAATTCCAGAAATAACTTTCTTCCATCTCTAAAAGTGTGAGGAAGAGTCAGACATTGTCTTGATCCACCCTTTCTTTCCATTATAAAGAGGAGTTTACAAGCAGGGAGTGATAGCAAGTACTATGCTGAAGCCCCAAAAAGCAGAAGCATCTGCTACCCCTGCCTCCCAGGTCTCAATACTATAGACTTTTCCTTCCAATGTTCCCTGAAACCAGTGAGGGGATGCCCAATACTTTCAGTGGGTCCTTAATGGGAGGTAACTGGTGAGAAGTCTGTGTCTCCAGCCTGCAATCTTTAATGCAGCAAAGCCCATTTATCCAGTGCAGTGGATTTTAACTTCTTTTCTTACCTAATGTGGACTAGATACTCATCTGCATATCACCTATCTGACAGTTACTTGCCTTAGCAGCGATATGAAAGAAATTCCTAGAGTCATTATTGTAATAAGCCAGAGTTCACACAAAGATCATCCAGCCATCCTACTTAGGGACAGTTTCCAGATCAAATAGAAATAAAATTTTACAGACCCTAAAATGCAAGACTAAAATTTTCAAATTTTCACTTACACTTATACATAATTATGAGGTATGAAAATGTTGAAGTGAAAATAATAATACCCAGAGGTGTTATGGATATCTGAAAGTCAAGCAAGTTATTCAATGCTGAAGTAGAACAAAGGTGTTCAACTTTGCATCAAGAACATCGGCATTCTTTTCTTTGCTGGTATTTACCTTAAATCTTTTGTTTAGTTGATCCTTCCATTTTTCAACTAGACATCCATCAAGAAGCATCAACCTGAAAATTAAGAAATAAATACAAGTTACAGATATTTCTGATTTTGATTCCTGAGATGTCATTCCAGATGATTTAACACAGACTGAGGTTGAAATGAACCAGCAGGTACTGGTACTGACAGTTTCTGCTTATGGGACAATAGGCAGAAAAACATTTTTCTCCATCCCTAAATGCTTTCTAATGGATTTCTGAATGCTTATACAGATCCTTCTGAAATTCTGTTCTAAACTCTGTAAAAACAGAAAATAGTTTTCAAAAGAAATCAGATTTTACAGCCAAAACTGCAGCACATGGCCAGTTTTGAGAAAACATTCAGAGCGCTTTGTTCTCACCTGCAGCTATTCTGCAGGGGAATACTGTCCTGTCTTGATCACTGTTAACAAAAAGTGATGGGTTGGGTAACATCCCATGAAAAAAAAAGCCAGGTTTTATATGCACCAGTTAATAAAGCTCAGCTGATGAATGGTAATACGGTATTTGACCACTTACAACTGTCTCCATTGCTACCTATAAATACATTATGATGGTATTATGTATTTCCTACATGTAACTACTTAATGAGTACTGTAAAGTACATTCAGAATATGTATGGTCAGTGATATTTGCCTACCAATGAAACCTGTCTGGCTCCTGTATGAAAATACTCAGTCTAGATGTTATGAAATGAACAAAACAAAAGTGTGACTATTTAATGTACCTGCCTTAAGCAGCTTCTAAAATAGTTTATTCTAAAGCAGTCTGATGTCACACCTTCTAAGTCCCACCCTAGAAACAACTATTTTTCAGCACAGGGATGATGGAATTTCTGTATCTCCTCTACTGCTAACTATTTAACTATTGTAACCTTTTTTTCTTCTGCTTTTTTTCTTTTCTTTTTTTTTTTTTTTTTTTTTTTTTTTTTTTTTTTTTTTTTTTTTTTTTTTTTTTTTTTTTGAGATACTGGGCCTTAATATTCCCTAATATCATTTCCCTAATTCTGGAGGTCTTTATTTAAACATCAGTGTTGGCTGAAGACATCAAAATATCATTATAAATGCATATAATTTCATACAGCACTTTGCTGGTGGGTGAGGTTTACACAGTGTAGCAGGGCCTGACTCCATTTTCCATGAACAGCGTTGCTGCTCATACCAGTTCAAAAAGAGTACAAAATTCTGCCACTTGTAGCTGTTAGCCACTGTGCATCCACTTTGCCCAAACATGAAAGTACTACAGTGAGTGCAAGCCCTGGAGAATCAAGACCAACATGATACACGTCTCCTTTTCTTTCTGAGGAGAGATTGGAGAATTAACATATAGGATTGGGGCTAAGGCCACATCGTGATGAATGAAACCATAACACGGTGTACATCTAATAAAGCTTCTGCTCAGGTCAAATTATTGAGTGAGACCCTAACCTTATTGGCAGGCAATGGATGTTTTGCCATTGACTTCAGTGGAGATACAGCTTCCACCCATTTTTCTTCTGGCATTTTAAAAAGATATTGTAACTCAAAACCTTCTGTTTGCATGCCACTGAGTTCAACAGAAACATATATAATAGTTTAGGATTCTTTTTCAAATCCACTTTTGTACACTATATGAAATTAAAAACCTCAGTGACATTTAAAAACCATCACAAAATATTCAGTGAATGTTGTGTTTTTCCATAGTAATGGAGGAGCAGATTGTGATCTTTCATTTTTGAAATTTCCTCTCCCTGACAGCTTCCTGAGGGTCCTCTCCAACAAAGCTCTGCAGGTCAGAGCTCCTCGATCGCAATCTGGTCATGGTCCTTCTGTGTGACTCAGAGTATGTATCCATAAAACGGCTAACACAAGTAGAGGGCTCTAAATTAATCTTTGTGAAACGCTTGCAGACCCGGAGGGGCAACGTGCCGTGTAATAGTAAAATGTTATGCCTGTCAGCTCACAAAAAAAAGTTAAGGTAATAAGGTATCAGATGGCAACTTTTAGAAACACCTATAGAACACACTTAAAATATCAACATAAAACTAATTGAAAATATGGATATAGCCCATCAAGTTCTGCACGTAGATGTTCTATGGTCCTTACAAGTGTGCATGTTCAATTAACAGTCACATCACTGTATGCAAAACCCGCCTGCACATTTTACGAGCAGCCTTACCTCTGACCCACAGCACAGAGCCCCACGTACCTACCACGCCACGACCTGTCCTGTTGGTGTCTGTTGCTACTGGTACACTTGGGTGCTAACAGGGATGGGATGTCCCGTTCTGCCTCAAGGACCCAGGGAGAAAAGGGAGCGGTGATTCATTACTCCCTCCCCTCCAGACCAGCATGCTGGATTTCCTTCCTTGCCTGGGGCTAGGCTGACTGCCAGATGAAAGGTCTGGTAAAGCTAGTTTTGTTTTGTCTTTTAATCATACAGCGGGACTGGCAAGCTGCTCTGAGAGTATTTACTTTTCATCTGCCATTCGGGAGCTGGAGCTCCAATGGCTGCAGCTTTGGCTGGTCCCGGTACAGCTGTGGGATCAGAAACATCTCCCTGATGGCACCGATCCAAAGTATGGATAGGCCGGCAGAGAGGGCCTGGCTCTGTCTCCAGCAGCTCTGCAGACAGGAGATGTGTATCATCTCCTGTACCCTCCCCTGGGGTCGGTGAGGCAGAACTATGCCTTCCCCGTGGTCCTGCCAACATGGACCACCATCTACAGCCACCATCGGGCTTGTAGCATATGAAGCAGTTCATACCTCTGGAAAGTGTTCCTGGAAAAACACTCCCAAACAGCTGGAGATGGCTGACCTGCTGCACGATGCATTAAGCAATATGCTAGCAGCACCTAATGCCACCAGGGTTTATGCTCTATGTGTGAGCCAGGTTTTGTGAACACCGCGTTGTGGCTCAGAGCTGAGGCTGATTAAGTAGAAAAAGTTAATTGCGAAGGTAATTGAAACATGTTGGTGTATGTGTGAGTTATCCCAAGCAAAACTATCAGCAAAACATGCTCATGATAAGGAAGGGAGCTTTGCTGGTCCTCCTTCCCGTCTATCACAGCTAGCTATAACGCTTTTCTTCATCACGTCGCCTGTGCTCACCTTGAGCGCCATTCATAGCACATGATGAGAACATCCTGCTTCGGTTGAAGAGGTGGACACTGGCAGGAGGAGTTTGTAAGAAGAGGCACTTGAGACAGAGGAATTGGCGTCGAAGACTTGAGTATGTCTTTGACTTCAACCACAGTCGTTACCTCATTGCAGTTTCCTCTTTCTATGCTTTTTACTTTAGCGTGAATGACTGCAATTAGAAAAATAGAGGTTGTTGAGAACAACAAACAGTCTTAGAAATTTAAACACATCTCAGAATTAAACAAAACTTATTAAATTGAAAGCTGTTGTTTTGTCTGTGAAACTAGAACTACTTCTTCATGTGTGGGCACGTACAGTGGCTTAGAATAACAGAGGCCTGATCCCAATTTGGTTTTCAGTAGGACTGTTGACAACTGTGAAATTAAACATGTGCTTAAATCTTTGCCAGATCAGGCCAAGCGATCTTGCCTGGAATCGTATACATAAGCAGCTCCTTTGATTCAGACTTGAACAACCCCTCGCATAAATCGAACCCGTTCTGTAGCCACATCTGGCTCTTTCCAATTAAGTAATGAATAATTTACCTCACAGACAGTTAGTGTGAATTCAGTCTTTTCAATAATAAAATCATTTCCCTGTAGGTTGCATCCATGAACTGAAGTCTTTTCTTAAATATAAGAAAGAAGGGAAGGTTTGAAACAAGTAGCCAAAAACTAAGAGGCTTAGGATTGTCGTGATTTACTTGGTCTACACTTTTTTTCATCATTTGCCTTTGGATTATCCATCAATAGTAAGATCGTCATATAAAACAGACTCTGAAATGGGTTCTTCTGACTCTGAACACACAAACATTCATATTTTTACCTTTTATGGAGGAAAACTGCATGTCTGCATCGATGCAAGAAGGTGAAACTGTGTAGACTGCTCTAAGGATGATCCCTGCCTAACTTTGTACCTGCAAACCCTGGCAGTACCTACCACTGCCGCATTTCACCCCTTCTCTCTTGTGAGAAGTACCAAATCAGAGAAATGAAGCACGACTTTTACACGAAGGACTTTGTCTCTAGGAAATGTCAAAATAGGAAGGGTGCTATTATCACAAAATTCTTCAGTGAAAGAAGCATGAGAAGCAAACGGATCACAGGGTGATCAGCCTGCATTGACGCTGCCCCTGGCAGCCACCAGGTCAAAGTCCTTCAAAGGGACCTCCTAACGTTTGGAATAAACCTCACATGTAGAAAACAGAAGACCAGCAATTTTAATGCAGTCCGGGTTTTATGTGCTAACTTTATCAGGACATGTGTAACAGCCACAAAACACATGAGGGATTTCAGTTTTGGAGACTCACAATCCATTTTCAAGTCTGATTGAAACGAAGTTCTGACCAGCTAGAAGTACAGTTTGGCTGTATATATTATTCTAAAGGATTTCAGAAAAAAAAAATTATTTTATTTGCAGCTTGTTCTGCCTTGTCTTGTCTCTCAATTCATTTTCCATATGAGCATGTCTACTTATTTCAGAGGAGGCTGAATAAAAATCTACCTCTCAAAACCAAAATCTTCATTTCACAAATGCAATGGAATTAAATTTTGGACCCCAACTTACAGTTTTTATTTAAGCAACACTCCCATTGAAGTAACTGGAATCAGAATTTGTATGGCTAACACCTGTATTTCATTTTGGAATAGTCATTTTATATCACTGCTTTTTCATATATTTCAGACAACAGTGGAAGTTCATTGTCCCACCTGAACATATCACTATGTTGTACTGAGATGGATTAAGGAATTCTATAAAAAGAATATATGACATAAATGCCAAAAAAAGTGTACAATTGCCTAAGTTAGATGTTCAGCTTGATTATTCCTGCCAAACTGGGGTTTGGATTTTTTTTTTCCTATACTAACAAAGAAGCAAAGAACTACAAACTTACTTTCATTTGATATCAGACAAATAGGAATTGAATGGATATAATAACCCTGTTGCATAAGAACTAAATAAATCCCTTGAAGAAACAACTGCCATCTGAGAAAAAACCCATAAAGTGCAAAAGACCATAACCAGCATGTTAAATTCATAGCTAATAGGGGGGTTCTATTGACATTACAGACGTTTAATCTGGTATTTATCTGATCTTCATTACAGTTCTACCTGACGCCCAGCATCAGAAAACCCAGGGGGGGGACGACACCAAGGGGGAAGAGGGGTCAACACTTACTTGACTTGCCAATATGTCATGCAACATATGATAAAACTATCGTCCATCTCATTGGCTGGATGGTGCAAATTGTCACTGAATTCAATTAATCTCTGAGAATTCCGCCCCAGATGAAACTCTGGCTAGTAAGTAAAAGAATATATGAATTGCTAAGTAATAACTTTTTATCTTGCTTCAGCTTCGTTCACATTTACACGTGTTATTTAGGTGATAAACCTCTGTTTATTCCACCTGCTGGATGAAAACAGGAGCTGGCCAAGCAGCACATGGTCGTGCTCCTATTAGATGTAATTGCACTTACTAGAGCAGCCTTTACCGTAGCGAGCACCCTTTCTGCAGAGCGACCTGTTGCGCATTACCAGCATTTCACTGCTTTTATCAGAAACGCACCATCATCTGCGCAATGACTACTACTGCCTGTACGAGGTGTGCGCGAGTGGTGGGTTTTGGAAGAGGATGGCTAGGTGTCCTTGGGGAAAAACACCCACTTGGAAAGGTTGTGGTGGAGCAGTGTCCTCACGCCATGCTTGCTGGACAGGGCCTGGCGTAGGTGCAGCACCCACACAGAGCTGCCTGACTCGCAAGGGGAGCAGAGAGGGGTGTGACGGGCAAAGAGAAGCGTTTTCCCCCATGCACTTACTGTAGCTGTAGTTCTTGGCCAGGTAGGTCGACAGCGTAGGCTTTGTCTTTTTGCACCTGCATCGCTCTTCAAAGGAAGAGAAGGGGAAATGGTTGAAGGGTGTCAGAGGGGGCCTGGCTGCGGGGGTGGGGGTGGGGGTGTCTGCAAACAGAGGGGCGGCGGGGAAGGAAAGCTGTCGGGGAGAAGCTCCCGGGGCAGGGGCGTGGGGGTCCCGCAACCTCCCCCGCCCGGGGCGCCCCGCGGGGGTAGAAGGGGTCCAGCCCTACCGCCGCCCCCGGCCGGCCGCCCGCCGCCCCCGGGCGCTCACCCTCCGGCAGGTCGGTGACGATGGCCTCGGGGGAGATGCAGACGCCGCGGTCGTAGACGGGGAGGTCGTCGCAGGCGAGGCTCTCGGGCCAGCTGTGGTTGTAGCGGCGCATGATGGGCTCGCAGCCGTCGCGGGCGCGCTGGCAGACGGAGCGGCAGGGCTTGATGGGGTCGTAGAGGAACTCCAGGGTGCAGATGGGGGCGTACATGGCGCAGAGGAAGAAGGGGAGGACCGGGCTGCAGCCGGTGCCCACCAGCTCTTCGTACTGCTCGATGGCGAGGACGGCGTTTTCCTGGGTGCTGTGGTGGAGGTGGTTGGGCATGCGGGTGATGTTCCAGGGCATGGGGCGGCACATGGGGATGCGCACCGCCTCGCACGGCGCACCCTGCGCCCGCGGGCTCACCCGCAGCCACAGGGACACCGCCACCAAGGCGCGCAA